GCAATACTTCAAGAAGACAACACTCACACCAAAGAACCTTCAGCAAACGTCGAAGACTGAAACTGAAGATTAGAGACCGGCGAGTACTGATTTGAAGCGATATTCAGTTATTACAAGCATGTCTACACATGTGTGAAGACTGCTCAAGCTTCAGCGAATGATGATGAGACCTTCAAGTCATTCCAGCATTCAGCAATCAAAGGAACCTTGCTTAGCACGATTGTTATTGTCTTGTCCTTATGCACACAAAGGACAAAACCCATACCCTTACAAAAGTTAGTACGGTACGGAGCCGACTAGTCGACTCTTTGTCCACCAACTTTAGGTAAGGATGTCTGCTCATGAATATTGCTTTTGTACTATTCACTGTAGCAAAGGACAAGCCTTCCTCTTAGGCTTGACACGCACTCTAAACCTACCATATTGCATTAAATGGACATTTAATGCACTGGGTATAAATAGAAGTGTTTTTTCTCCATGCAGAGTGAGCGCATCTCTCTCTCTCTCTCTCTAACCTAATTCTTACTTCAAGCATCTTCTAGCTTAAGTAAAGGATCTTTCTTTTAGCAACTTTTTTTTGTAATTGCTAAAGCTTTGTGTGTAACCAAAGATTGTTTAGATATGTTTTTATTACCTTATATTTCCGCAAACAATCTTGTAAAATTTGTATTGATCTTCTCTATCAATATATATTTTAAATTTGAAAATACTGTGTTTGTATTCATCCCCTCTTATACAAACTGTTTCTCTTCTTGTAGACCATTTCGGGACCAACAAAATCCGACTGTAAGAACTAAGTTCGGATGTCAATACTCTTCGTCAGATCCAAATGAATATTGTTTTCAAGGCAAAGATTAAGAATTCTTTTAAGTATTGGATCAGATATATTTATACTACTATCAAATCCAATGATTGAGACTAGCATAGACATTTCAAGGTTTTTGGACATTCTTTTGATATCTGTGTGGTTAGGTCAAAAGTAATAAGTATGAAGCCCTTTGTAGCTAAAACAATGAAATTGTAGATATTGTTGCAATAGGGGATTTGAGTTGAGGTAAAGGTGTTCTAGGATGAGAGGCAACAAGGTGTAAGATTAGGGTAGAAAAAAATAGATTCAACATTTTATGTATAAAATTTGTAAATGGGGATAATATATCTACTTTCAAAGACCCTACAGTGTAAAGTTGATTAGGGAAAAGGGAAGGGTACATGTATTAAAAGGAAGTATAAGATGACTGGTAAAAGAACAGGTGGATATTCAAATACCAAAATTTGAGACGAATACTTCAAAAATTTGCTATGTGAGCTGAGGGAATTGAATAAAGGGAAAATATTCTTTGAAAATTTTGAAGACAAACTAGTTGTTTAGTATGACAATATGTAAAAGCTAAAGTGTACACATAATCTTCATTTTAAAGATTACCATATTAATTATATTATTAAAATATTCAGTATATTTAATAAAATATTATTTCTCTTTCATAAATTTTTAATTTTAAAAATTCTTATTAATAAAAATTTATGAGCAAGAGTTGGTGAGTTCACAGGTTTTATATGCATAAAATGATTTTAAATGCAGCAAATCTTATTAATAAAAATTTATGAGCAAGAGTTGGTGAGTTCACAGGTTTTATATGCATAAAATGATTTTAAATGCAGCAAATCTTATTAATAAAAATTTATTTTCCCCTTCTGAGTAATCATCATTAAAAAGTTTTTTTTATGTCTCCTATACTTTTTCTTATTTAAAAGAAAACCTTAAATTAAATAACTTGTTAAAGCAAAATATTATCCCAAAATTCCCAAATATTACTTCTAAACAAGATATTTTTTTAGCATGTTAAATGTGAGATTTTGAATAGGGCCCCCGAAATTTTGGAGCCTAAACTATAGCCGAAATTATTTAGGTTCAAATCATTAATTGTTTGGTTTTAGGTTCAAATTATTAATGGTTTAGKTTCAGTTTCAGATTGTTAATCGTTTTAAGTTTAGCCCATTTTTATTCTTAACATATATTCTTTATTATGTCATTTATGCAATATAATGAAAAGCATCATGCTCCTAAATTTGTTAAAGTGAAAATTAAATTCTTTTGTGACAAACGAGAAACCAAAGAAAAGATAAAAGATATATTTAACAAATTTTCTAGTTTCTCTTAAATAACATATTGAAAATCTAATTTTCTTTTAAATTATATTAAAATTAACATAATCGAAATATTATATTATTAAAATATTTAATATTTTAAAAAAATATTTTTTTTTCTCATAAATATTTTATAAAAAATTAGTATTTATTTTTCTATCATAATAAATTAATTTTAAAGATTTTATAAAATATAATATTAGTTTTCTTTCATAAATATTTAATTTTAAAGTTTTTTATTAATAAAAAACAATTTTCTCCCTCAAACAATCATTATGAAAAAGCTTTAAAAGAGTTTTACTATCTTTTTAATACTTTTTTATTTATAAAAAGTTTTTTTTTGGGACCAAATATACAGAAAAGGTTTTAAATAATTTGGTAAAAGGTTTTAAATAATTTGGTAAAATTCCCAGAATACCCTTTTGTGGAGAATATGTGATGTCAACACAAATCCCCATCCCCACGCCTTTTCTCCATTCATCTCACGCAATTCCTCCTATATATATACGTTACAAAATGGCAGCGGCCATTAGACTTGCTGCGTACACTTCTCTTGCTTCAATTCCATCTTCATCTTCCTCCATTTTCATCAACTTTAGATCCATCTCCCATCTGGGTATTTCAATTTCTGCAAACCCCTTGTTGTTCTGTTCTAGAAGAGGCAAACGTATGGCTCATGCTGTTGCTAAGGCCACTCTTGGCCTCACTCATCCTGGCCAAATCGATCACCCCAAGGTCTTTTTATAATTTTATTCGAGATTCATGTCAAATGGGCTCTGTTAATTTTATATGATTGATTAATTGCTCATCGTACCCACTGACCTCACTGTGAAATCACTTTATCTTTCTGTATTCTCTGCTAATTTGTTAATATTAACTCTTTATTTGGCTAATTTACCTTATCACAGTATAGCATCTGACATTTAGGGGAGGGGGGAAGGGGATAACATTAATACTTACTTGAACTGTAGTTCACTTGAAGTAAACTGTGCTTCTGAATACAATCGTACCCATGATCGTATCTTAGAGTGACTTGATTTCTGCGAGTTGTGTAGTTTCACTTTAACTATTTCTTGGTATATGTATGCTCCTTTAACTCCCTTTACAGATTTTTCTAGTTGATCATATGAACTGAATCTTTGTTTTTGTACATCGTAGATCGAATCTTCTGCATATTAAAACATAAGCCATATCTTGTTTTGTATCTGATCATCTTGATGCTTATATCGAGTTCGGCCTTGTTTAAGTTTCACTCTGTTTGAACATGTGCTTAGATCTATATTATATATGTATGTATTTGTATATGTATATATAAGCATGAACACACTAGATTTCTTATTTTGTCTAAGAAGATTTGGGTGTGGATGTTATTGATCCAAAACATGTTTGTAGCCACATGAATAAAAAGCTCCTTCTGTTGGTATTTTGTTAACTCGTAACAAAATTTAGGGATTAGGGTTTAGGGTGATAAATGTGGCAAGACAAAATTCTCACGACTAAAGATGTTACTAGGATGCTTTACGGATGGGGTGTGTTTTATGTTTAAATTTGCTTTCACCAACATGTACTAGCTTATGCTTATTTGCGTTCGAAGTTCTAAACGTGGTGGTTGCAACTATTAAGTTGGTGGTTTTAATTGGTTAATCGAGGATAAACTCTATGATGACTCCATGTTGTAATTATTGTAAATTCACCATAATGATTGTGTTTGTGGATTGTTTATCAGAAACTAAATCTTTGTTCTTGCTTTTTTGAAATATGAAAGATCTCTTTTGCTGCTAAAGAGACCGACTTGGTAGAATGGAAAGGAGATATACTCGCAGTGGGTGTCACAGAGAAAGACATGGCAAAAGATGAGAATTCAAAATTCCAAAACTCGATCTTGAAGAAGCTAGATTCTCAATTGCATGGATTATTGTCTGAAGTATCCACTGAGGAAGATTTCACTGGAAAGGACGGCCAGTCAACTGTTATTAGGATTGCTGGTCTTGGATCCAAACGGGTTAACCTGATTGGGATCGGAAAGGTTCCCACAGGTTCATCCACTTTTGCTTATCGTGGTCTTGGTGAGTCTGTTGCATCAGCAGCAAAGGCTTCTCAAGCAAACAATGTTGCCATTGCCCTTGCTTCCTCAGAAGGCTTAACTCCTGAGATGAAGCTCGCCATTGCTTCAGCGATAGCAAAAGGTAAGTTTTTTCATCTTTCATTAATGTTTTCTTAGGTAACTGTGGGTGTCCACGCCAGCTTGCACACACCTCGGCTAGTCCCATGGGCCCCCAAAGATAACAGCCAGAAAAATCCTCTAATGGCTCTGAGGAGTCAAATCCCATGGGGGCCCCAAGTAGGAATTGTAAGTAGTAACTAAGAAATTTTTAATGTTGGATGTTTGGATTATGATAGGCGCATTGCTGGGTACTTATGAGGATAACAGATTCAAATCCGAGTCTAAGAAGGCAGCTCTGAAGTCTGTTGACCTTTTTGGTCTTGGAGCTGGACCCGAGCTGGAAAAGAAACTTAAGTATACAGAATATGTCTGCGCAGGCATATTTTTGGGAAAAGAGCTTGTAAATGCACCTGCTAATGTGCTCACTCCTGGTTGGTCATCCTTTCTTCTCACTTATTGTTTCTTTTTATTTTGTTAATTCTGTTAAACTGTGGATCCTTTGTTCATACAATTTGTTTTTACGTTTATGCCTCAGGGGTACTAGCAGAAGAGGCTGAAAAGATTGCTTCTACATACAGCGACGTACTTACCGCAACAATTTTGGATACCGAGCAATGCAAGGAATTGAAAATGGGTTCGTATCTTGGTGTTGCTGCTGCTTCCACAAATCCTCCTAAATTTATCCATTTATGTTATAAACCTCCAAATGGATCCATCAAAACCAAGCTAGCTATAGTGGGAAAGGGATTGACTTTTGACAGGTAATAAATCAATTTTCTTTTGTAAATGTGAGTATCATCAATTAGCAAGAGTATATATTCTCTCCTAATAGATGAAGGAGGAAGCATGTTCTCTTTAAATAAAAGGGAGAACTTGTATTTGTCTACAATTTTAAGTTAAAATACCACTTAATTCTCGTTAGTTCAAAATGGGATGCGTATAAAAAGGGCATTCATAGGTCGCCAGTTCAAGTCTCTTCAAAGTCATTGGGGATTTTTCTTGACTGTTATCTTCAGGGCCCCATGGGATTGCCAAGGTGCATGCAAGTGGTCCCAGACACCCATGGTTACAAAAAAGGCTACATTTCTAAGTCGTGCACCTAATTCTAACTTCTAAGCATGAGTTACATGATAAGTTTTACATGGTTGTAATTGTCTTAGGTCTTGTTCATTTAGGCTACTTGATGTCTTAATTTTGTGGGTTCCACTTGTATAATGTGAGAAGAAATGAAGAGGTTATTGCAGGTCTCATTTACTTGATATAAGGAGAAATCAAGATGGGACCCTTAATATGGAGGAAAATGGTATAAATGAGCGAAGCCTTTATAGTAGGCTGTAATAATGTTAAGATGTGTGTTACTTCATCTCTACCATTACCTATATTGTAATGTTGATAATCATAATATTTTGTTAATTCTTTCGTCTCTTTTTTTTGGTTTTTTGATGGTTATAAACTCATGATCATTGCTTCTTTTGCTAATATGTACCTAAACCAAACCAAACGAACCCAGTATATCCCACCTGGAGGTGGGGTCTAGGGAGGGTAAGATGTATGCAAACCTGACCTCTCCCCTCTACCGCAAAGAGTAGAGCGGGTCTTTCCGTGAAGACCCCTGGCTTGTGGGTAATTTTTCTTGTCATTTTTGTCTGCAGTGGTGGCTACAACATTAAGACAGGACCTGGTTGTTTAATAGAGATGATGAAAGTTGATATGGGAGGCTCAGCAGCAGTTTTAGGTGCTGCAAAAGCCCTTGGTGAAATTAAACCGGCTGGAGTTGAGGTGAGATGATATGCTTCCAGATCAAATTATATTTGTTCACACACCAATTTAAAATATGTTGGTTTTAGTATCCATTTGTTTCATAATTGATTAATTGCTCTTGTATTTTAAAACCAATATCTGAACTTCAGTAAGAAGTTGGAGCATTTGTATGCCTGTGATATATGACTTGGCTTATGGTTTTGCTATCACAGGTTCATTTTATTGTGGCAGCATGTGAAAACATGATAAGCGGAACTGGTATGAGGCCTGGAGACATATTGACGGCCTCAAACGGAAAGACAATCGAGGTACATCTCCTGCAGATATATGAAAAGTCATTAAATTTGATAAATTCTAATAGAATAGAATTCGAACCAAGCAAAAAAAAATGATGCCCACCTCCTCACCCCAAACCTACCACTAATTTTGCAAGGATACCCACCCACCTCCTTACCCGCCAGGCCAAAGCCGGTTGCCCTTGTGTTCCCGTAATGCCATTTTGTTTTCTACCTAATATTTTCAAGAATTTTACTTGAATTGTGAGTTTTTACCTACATGTTTGTAACTTCCATTTCATTTCAACATGAATCGGAAAAAAATGATTCAATTGGTGACAAAAAATGATGGAATTTTGAAATCTTCATCTTGTATACATAATTGAAGAATTTTTTTGAATCTTTCACGTGAATAAATTGATTATGATTCCTTCTATTAGGTTAATAATACCGATGCTGAAGGCAGACTTACACTTGCTGATGCTTTGGTGTATGCCTGTAATCAAGGTGTAGACAAGGTAAATTTTTTTTGTTCTGTAACATTTTCGAACTGCTTCTCATTTCAGGTCCAATTCTTTTTGACATCTAACATTCTTATGTTGTGGGTCCTGGTTATGAAGACAGGACCCACAAAATAAAGGACAGATGAAAATGGTATAAACAAATGGAACTTTGATTCCGTAGCATCAACTCCTCCATAAATATCTACTTATGATCTAAAACGTCATTTAGGTCAAATCTTGATGTGTTTGAACTGGTCTCATTCTATATTCGATATTTTCATCAGATAGTTGATTTGGCAACTTTGACTGGAGCTTGCGTAGTTGCTCTTGGGCCCTCAATTGCAGGTACATGGTGCTGAATATATGTGATGTGAACTTGTGGTATATTTTCATACCAATGAATGTATTTCAAAATGTTATGCCGTTTGAAAAGGTAGTGTTTGTGGATAAGAAGTTAAAAACCATTGTTAACGATCAATCAATGTCATTTGAATAAGTTGGTGTTTTCAAACATAGCATTCAAATGCTTGAAAATGGAATAAGAGTTCATTATATTCAAGATTTGGATTGGTCGTGTTCCAATTAGAAGCCACAGAAATGTAGTTCCGTACATCAGGGAACAAGAACCATAAATGTTTTGAGAACTTGAGAACCAACTATTTCATGAATTATTCATGATGAATAACCTTAAAATATTCATGAATATTATTCATTATGAATATCATGCATTTTCATTATTCATGATATTTCGCAAAAGGGAAGAGACTCATAGAATGGCAAAAGCAAATATCATGAATATCCATTCATCATGAGTAGTTGGTTCCACTTTCTCATAATAGTTACGGTTCTCATTTGAACCTGCCCCTCCATACGTAACCCGAAAGCATTTGATTTTAACACGGGATGTCTCAAAGTACATTTCTTGTTTGTATGCTACTGTTTCATGCTTGTTTTGTAGTAAAAAGGATAAAATTTAGATCTTGGTTAACGTTTGTTCAAAATAAAACAGGCATCTTCACACCCAGTGATGAATTGTCTAAGGAGGTGGTTGCTGCCTCTGAAGTCGCTGGAGAAAAACTCTGGAGGTTGCCGATGGAGGAAAGTTATTGGGAGTCGATGAAATCTGGAGTAGCTGATATGGTTAACACTGGTGGTCGTCAGGGTGGTTCTATTACTGCAGCTCTTTTCTTGAAGCAGGTATTTGTTTACTCCATTCGTTTCAACAAAATTGCACAAGAAGTATTTCCATTCCCGACACAAGGGTATTTTAGACATTTGATGAATAGCGAAATTGCAACTATTTTCATCAAGGATTCCGCTAAGATCACATCTTGCACATTGGGTGTACTACATCTTGACTTGCTACTGCAAAAGGGTATTTAGCCATTTGATTAATAGTGAAATTGCAACTATTTCTATTTGGGATGGCCCCTAAGATCACATTTTGCACATTGTGTTCACTACATCTTGACTTGTTACTGCAAAAGGGTATTTTAGACATTCGATTAATAGTGAAATTGCAATTATGTCCATTTGGGATGGCCCCTAAGATTACATTTTGCACGTTGTTTTCACTACAAAAGGAGTCGATTATATCAATATGTGCTATCTTGTCATCGTTGACGGACTTTCTAGACAACTATTCGCCACCGTTTTATAATTACCACAAGGGTATTCTAGACATTTGATTAATAGTCAAACATCTTTCGCATGCTTTTGCTTCTTTCAAGCTCTTATTTGTTTTTTTTCGCATATTCTTTTAGCAAGCGTTATCCTTTCTTTTCTGCACACTTTGCACCAAGTCAGGGATCTTCACGAATAAACAACCACTCTACTTTTTGAGATAGAGGCCCCACCTCCAGGTGGCTTGTTTGGGTTGGTTAGAAGAAAACCACTGTCATATAAACTTGTTGCTGATCGAAACTGTGTTGCATTGCAGTTTGTTGACGAGAAAGTACAATGGTTGCATATCGACATGGCTGGGCCTGTGTGGAATGACAAGAAAAAAGCGGCAACAGGATTTGCTATCCCGACTTTGGTCGAATGGGTTTTGTCCAACTCTTCCCCTTAAATCCTTTTATCTTATCGTGGGCGATTATGGTGACGGAAAACAAGTCCGGCATCGTTATCCGGAGGACTAGAAACCTTGAGAAATCGTTGGGATGATGTTGGTATAATTAAAGAGCAAGTATTTGGGAAATGTGCGTAACACCACAAAAAAGACGGTTCAATAAGATCAACCTGGTAAAAAAACATCAGAAATCGTTTGAAAATAACAGTTATGGTAAAAACACCTTTTGAGTCTTTGGAAGAGTTGATTTTTTGAACTGCCTTCATCTTTCGAACTTTTACATAAATCTTATAAGCTCGTTTATGGACTTCAACTTTAATTCGTTTATTGGCTCGAACCAGATAATTTTTATATTTTTGTTGCGATTGCAATTCATCGACAAAGAAAGCATTCCTTACGATATACAAAATTTACCGTGTAAGATACAAGTTAATACAATACGATGATTTTCTTTTTGGGTTTGTTGATTTCTTTCATAACGATATGAAACATTTACGGCTTGTAAAAACCGACAAACAAACTCCCTCCAACGACAAAACGAGTAATGAAAAGAAACTGCATGAAAAAAACCCGAATTTTTTATATTTCTTCACTAGCTCGTAGCGGTTCGATATCTTTTAGAAGTCCGACCACTTGTTGCATGCTCGGCCGCTTTGCCGGAAGATCGGCTGTGCATAGATACCCGATTTTCAATCCCTCCACCATTTGACATTCATCGCCTGTGGTTCGAATCTTTGGATCTATGGCTCGTGAACCACGGTTCATCCTCACAAGCCCTCGAACCCAACTAACCAAATTTGGAGCTTTCGAGTTATCATCATCCAGATACTCATCGCCAACAGGCTTTTTCCCTGTGATCAGCTCGAGAAGAATCACCCCGAATCCGTAGACATCGGATTTTGGGGTGATCGTGTCGTCTGGTGGCGTGTATCTAGGGGACCCATGAGCGGTTTCGTCATCGACACTGTTTCCAAAGATTTTCGCAAGCCCGAAATCGGATAATCTTGGTTCGAGATTGTAATCAAGATAAACACTGCTCGCCTTGACGTCTCTATGGATGATCGGCGGCGAGCATCCGTGGTGGAGAAACGCCAATGCACGAGCTGTGCCAAGCGCAACCTTATGCCGAAATTGCCACGTGGTCAACAGACCTTCGGACCCCACGTTTTGAATTCCGTTACTGTTGCTTTCATCGGCTTCCCATGTATCAGAACTCCAATCTTCTGTGGTTTGAACTCCAAGAGGGAGATCATGAAGCAAATTATGGAGATTTCCATTCTCCATGTAATCATAAATCGCGATTCTTTGTTCACCAGCCAAGCAATATCCAGTTAAAGGAACAAGATTCGGGTGTTTTATCCTTCCAAGATACTCAAGCTCTCTCGCTGCTTCGTGGTCAGTCATGGTGGAACCATGGACCAAAACCTTAACAGCCACGTGGATTCCACCTGGCAAGAAGCCTCTGTAAACCGGCCCGAATCGCCCTTCTGCCAAAAGGGTTCCTCTATCAAAATTTGAAGTGGCTGAAAGAAGATCAGAGAAGGTGAAATCCAGCAATGGCTTCTCAAAGATCACTACAGGCACTAAAGATGCAATCTTTACATCTGCAACCCAAGTGGTTGAATCCGTTTTGAAAGAAAACGGACCAGATATGGCATGTTCTTCGTTGCAAGATTCTTGTTTAACATCCCACATCCGGGTTTTTCTTCGACAACCGAATGCACAGAGTAGCAAAGCCACAAGCAAGCAGACTAAAGTGACGGCTAGAGCCAAAGCGAGCTCGAGTCCTCGATGTCTATGGGGTTTTCTCTTGAAAAGGGTCGGGTTTGCAGCAATGGGGCAACTATTCGAACAACCAATGAACGCTGATTGAAGGGTTTCGAGGGAAAACTCATAATCACAAAGAGTTAAATTGTTGTAAGAAAAGTTGAATCTTTCCATCCATGGAAGTTTCTGCAAGAGAGACATGGGTATGTCTCCAGTTAAGTTATTGTTGGAAAGATCAAGATTTTGCAGGGTTTTGAAGCTCAGAAGTGGGGGTTTACCAGCAAGATGATTATTCGAAAGATCGAGTGTTTTCAGATGAGTTAACATCGTGATTCCATCCGCAATTCGACCGATTAAGTTGGTTTTCGATAAGTTGAGGTACTCTAAACTATGGAGTTCATCAATGTGGATGAAAGTTTGTTTGGAAAACCTGTTGTTGGCGAGATTAAGGTGTTTGAGATTATGGGTTTGGTTTAAATTGCTGAAAAACTGTCCACTAATCTCATTATCAGACAAATCAAGATGAACCAAATGGGACCAATCGAAGGTTGAACTGAAGTTTACCTTAGAAATATGACCTTCAAACTGGTTACTGCTTAAATCAACCACCTCCAATGGCCCCTGGAAGATTTCAACAACAGAACCCTTGAAAAGATTCTTGGAAATGTTGAGATAAGTTACTGAAACCATCTTGGAAAAATCAGACCCCCTTCCAGTGATCCCATTTCCAGCAAGATTCAAGCTTTTGAGCTTAGGAAAAGCTGTGTTAAAACCATCAGGAAGACTTCCATGGAATCTGTTGAAAGAAAGGTCGATGGAGATCAAAGAATGGCAGCTTATGAACCCCAATGGAATGATGGAATCAAACTGGTTTTGATTGAGATTGAGAAGTTGTAAACTGGTAAGAGAACTCAAGGAATCAGGAAGACTTCCAGAGAAATTGTTGAAAGAAAGGTCAAGTCTTTCAAGCAATCCAAAGTTCCCAATGTTGGTAGGGAGATTTATGGAGAATTTGTTGTTTGAAAGATTGAGGGTTTTGATGGAAACCAAACTCCAAAAATCAGATGGGAAATCAGTGATTCCATTACTGCTTAAATCAAGATATTGAAGCTTTCTGAGTTTGCCAATGGTGTTATCAGGGATGGAGCCAGTGAGTCCCAAATCAGGAGCAACAAGACCAATCACATTCTCTTGTTTAGCATCACAGAACACAATTTCCCATGAACAAACAGATGAAGATAGATTGTAAACATGAGAAGAAGAAGATGAATTTATCCCCATTTTTTCAAAAAACTGAGAGATGAAGAACTCATCTGTATTGGCCATTGACTGTTCTTGTTGTTGACCAAGGTTTGACTTAAAGAAAAGTGAGAAAATGAAAATGGAACCAAATAAAGCAAACCCCATTTCTAGAGTGGGATAAAAGAAAGAAAGAAAGAAAGAAAGAAAGAGATAGCAAGCAAGCTGCAACCCCCCCTCCTCCCCCCCTGGTTCCTTTATGTGCTTTTCAGTCCCTTTTTCACCTCATTAACTCCACCACCCACCACCGCCCTTCCACCGCCAAAAACCACCGCAATCTGCTAGCTTGAGGTTTTGGGTGTTTTTAAGAAAATACCCATCTGGGTGAAGCAAAGCCAAGAGAGAAAACAAGCAAGTTTAAAGAGATTTTGTCTTTGTGTAAAAAGGCTCCAACTTTTAGATGAAAAAGAGGGTGAGATATTGGGAAGAGAGAATTTGGGAGTTTAGTGGAGAGATTGTGAGGGTTGATAAATGTTTTACAAGGGTTGGTGAAAACCATCAGAAAAATGTATTCAATGATGCCATGCCATACCCATACATACTCTCTCTCTCTCTCTCTCTCTCTCTCTCTCTCTCTCTGTGTATGTATATGTGTGTGTGTGTGTTGTGTGTGTGTTGTGTGTGTGTTGTACTATGTGTGGTGGTAGACATCATTTTTACTCAACTTGGATATGTTTTCTTATGATCAAATTTGGGAGTAATTATGAATATTAATTCAACTTTTTCAAAAGCTAAAAGAAAGTTGCTTCTTTTTGTCAAAGAAATTAATTCAATTGTATTTTTTTTATTAATTAGTAATTATTATATAAATTTTCAATAAAAATATATAATAAAGTATATTTGTACGTCGACATAATAACTTATATAAAGATATATATATATATATATATATATATATAGAAGTTGGTTATTATACAACCCTTGTTATTTGTGCAATCAATACAACTTAATCTCAACCGTCCATTTCATTTGATTAATATGTGATTTTATAGAGGTTTTGATTATTTCATAATATAAAGTATTAATCATAATTAATGAACCATATTCATCTTCCATAAATATTTAAATCATAATAAATGAACTCTAATCATTTCCATAAATATTTCAATTTATTGGGTTGCATTGGTTGTACAAATGCGATAGGTTGTATTTGAAATAAACCATATATATATATATATATATATATATATACTAGCAGTGTATCCGTGTAATGCACCGGGTAAACAAAATTGAAATGAGATAAGAATTACCAAGAGACTATAAAATAATGACAAGTTAGTTCTTCCGTTTGAATTTTGAAATTCAAACAAAAAATAAAAGAGGAAGGTAAATGGTATTGGGGGTAGAGCATAGATAGAGTTAGACCAAAATGAATAAAGCAACCAGAAATTTTAGTCTCTTGTGAATACAAAAAGGGTCAAAAGCTTTTAAAAAACATGCATATAATATTTGTATATTATGTTTTAGTAGATATTTATGTGTAAAAATGGATGTTCCAAATGCTTATAATTTGCTGCAAAAAAAACTTCACGTCAAAAAAATTGACATCATAAAATTATTTATGTTTTTTAATTTTTTTTGAAAAAGAATAATCGTATTTAACAAATTAAAAATAAACTTGACGTGATAAAATTAGTATTTCTTTTCATTTAAGATATCATATTTAACTACAATGATGGTGTCAGATTGGTTTGAACTTAGGTTCCAAAGATCAAAAGTGTTTGAAGGTCTCAGGTTCAAATTCAAAGAGGAATAAAAATCCCCTTGTAGCCATGAAGATTCAAATGGATGACTTCGAGCTACCCACAAAACACCCTGGGATTAGTCGGCTTGCATAACAGCTTAGATATCCAGGTTAATCAAAAACAAAAAATAGCATATTTATATTTTATTTATAAAACGGAATAAAACATAAAAATTCAACTACCTAACAAGAAAAGTATGGAAGTATTAAAGAGTTCTTAACTCATTTTACTTATTAATGTTAGCATTTGAGTTATGGTTCATTTACCAAACGCTTACTCGGATAAGTGAACATCAAATCACATTATCTTACCAGATGAATATAACAAGGATCAAGAATTTTATCCGGTAAGAACGAGACAAGGACCAAGTGTCTTATCTGTTAAGTGAGAGTGACAACTTTTACCATGGTAAGAATTTACCGGGTAAGTGTTTGATAAATGGTCTCTTAATATTCAGACATCAACATAATTGAATATGTTTAGTAGGGGTCTCATCATGAAAAAAGTGTACAAGCTATGGAAATTGTAAGAATCAATCTCATTCATTCACTTGTTTAAATCAACGAGTATGATAAATAATGACATTAATGCGATTGTTGGGGGGAAATGGTCCTTTAAATGTCATTAAGTTACAGGGGGTAATGGGGTTTGGGGTAAAATATTAGGATCGTTAAAAACGGATTTGGTGGTCCGTTTTCTCTCTCATTAAATCAATATATATATATATATATATATGACGTTTCAAATGTTACTCATCACATTTGTACAACCAATGCAATACAATCAATTGAGATATTTATGTAAATTATGAGAATTCATTTATTGTGATTTGAATATTTATGAAAGATTACTGTGACTTATTAATTATGATCAATACTTTATATTAGAAACACTCAAAACTTTTATGAAATCACATATTCATCAAATTAAATTGACGGTTGAGATTGAGTTGGATTAGTTGTACAAATGTAAAAGATTGCATAATAACTCACCCACCTATCTCTCTCTCTCTCTCTCTCTCTCTCTCTCTCTCTATATATATATATATATATATATCAAATTCGAAAAATCTCAACCGATATTCATCAATCGTCTCCTTCTTCCCCATACCGAAACACCATAAAATGGAAAACTCAAACCATAAGGGACGGAAAAGCGACAACATGATTCATATAGTGAAGTATTAACAGAGTGATATTTACATATGTGCTTTGCATTGTCAAACATGATAACCGTGGTATTTACAGGAGTGCTTCACATTGTGAAATATTAACAGTGTGTTTGTCAACTACAGTTATGTACTAATGAGTTTCACAATGTGTTTGTGAACTACACTGATGTACAAATGTGTATTCACAGTGGCTATGCACACAACGTATACCTTCATACCCGCTATCGATAACTAAAACACATAACCTTAGGCATGTGTGTTTGGATAAATTTGTATTCACAACATGTATGTATAATAATATTTAGTTAATTATTAATTTTATTGGTCATATGAAATAACAAATTAGTAATTCAACATTTTATTATTAATTAAAAATATATAATTAATTACCTTAAATTACTGGTTTATATAGGATCTCACTTTCTAATATATTATAGAATTAAATATATTCACGATCTCTCTATACGATATTTAAAGAAACACACATTAATAAATCTTGTGTACGACTAGATAGGTGTGTGTATATATATATATATATATATATATATATATATATATATAGRGGCCTAATCAAATGAGAACTAATTAGTTTGTGGTAACTGTGAAAACCAATATTAACCACAAATCAATAGATAAAATAGAAAATTTATAATTTTGGCAATTTTGAATTAAAATATTAATGCAATGATATTTTTGGTATTTTAAAACGTTCCTCCCTCCTCTCTTCTCTCTCCGGCCACCGTCCTCCGGTGATACTACAATGGTATCACAATGCATCATATATGTGCTTGGGTATCACATTGATGTCGTTTGTGTAGTCGATCGAAGATGTAACACAGTGGTATCACTATGCATCTTATATATGATTAGGTATCACAATGTATCTTTTGTTTAACAGAATCAATATTTTTAAGTATCACAGTGGTATCACCGGAGGACGATGGCCGGAGGCCGGAGAACGGTGGCCGGAGAGAGGAGAGCTTTAAAATACCAAAAATATCCTTGCATTAAGATTTTAATTTAAAATTACCAAATTTATAAATTTCCTAATTTATCTATTGATTTGTGGTTAATATTGGTTCTCACAGTTACCACAAACAACTCAGTTCTCCCTTGAATAGGCCCCTATATATATATATATATATATATATATATATTTGGGATCATGTGAGACCAAGGGTTTTTCGTGAAACTCGCAAGACCAATTCTCAACCATTGGATTAGATCTATAATCTGAACATTCATAATCACAAAATTGTCACAAGACTTCTTAATAATCACAAAATTGTTACCATGCAACTTTAGACCATTAGATCATTAGCTTATAAAGTTGATCAATGAATATTAATTGGTCTTACGGGTCTCACGAAAAACCTCTGGTATCACGTGAACCCAACCATATATATATATATATATATATATATATATGGACTTAATCATTAGAAAACTACATTTTTTGTGAGATTTGTGAGATCAATACTAAACCACATATTTTAATCGAATTGCTTATCTTTAGATAAAAAGAAAGAGTAATTTAGTCTTTTCATTTTTTAACAACTAATAATATCCTCTTTTTTAAGGAGTCACGGCCTCAACAATATCCCCCACCATGTGTAATTGCAATGCACTTTCCAGCGGCATTGTGTCCTTGTTTTGGGACTTTTAACCTTGCGAGTATATTTGCAGCCGGTATATGTGATATTGTCACTCATTCAATAACATTAAACGTATCAAGTATCGAGTCTGATTCGTTTGACTTCAACTTTACATTGTGAAGTTTGAGGAACAAAATGAGACAGAATGAGAATATTCTATGACACTTTATGTCGTTCCCATGGAAAATCTCTTTTTATATCTCCCTATAACGACGAGAAGACTATCTCATAAAAATGACAACCGATAAATCTAGCGGTAAAGATATCACCCATCAAGGGTTCTAATTAGAGTATAATTGTCGGGAATTCATATCCAACTTATATATAATCATCTTTAAGGACCCATTTTTGGTGTATTATGGGGGTGCAATTGGCACATATACTACACAACCAGACATACGTAAATGTAAAATATCATGCTTATATCCAGTTGCTAACTGATATACATGGGATTGGTTGGTTAGTAATGGGTCTGAAAACGAATAAATAAGGTTGCGTGTAATATTTGCATAACCCGTTGCAGATGTGGGTAATTTG